GACAGACGCCTTTTTTATAACCTCAAACATGATGACCATCCATTAAAAAGCCTACTCCCAAGGTACAAAGACTATATTGTAAACATTCGAAGGAAATCCATTGTCAGGCCCAGCATTAACACTGAACGTTTTAAACATAGCTTTTTTAATAGATTAATTTTTAAATATAGTCTAGCTGTGTAAACACCCCATATGTATTTCTAATCATTTTTATTCTATTTAATCATTGTAATTTTTCCCATCAATATATATTATTTTTTACTGTAACATCAGATATGTAATTATAACGGATGGTTTTTTAATAAAGACGAATTTTATTTATTTAATAAGCAGTCACCCCACTATTTCCTGTGGGTGACTGCTCGATGCAGGTTTGACTGTACCTTGTACCGACGAAGGGCTAAAGCTCGAAACGTCAGCTTTTGTAATCATTACGGTGGCCAATTTACCAGTTCAACTTTGTTGATATATCCAAATTATTTCATTACTCCAACGACGCAGCCCCAAACAGTTTCTTTCGAAACTATCAGCCTTTATTCACTTGTATAGCTGAGATCCCTTCACAGACTAACACAGTTAGTCGTACTATCTGTTGAATTTTGAATATTTCATCACTCCTTAATTTCCTCTCAGTTATAATTTTAATTATAACTAAAATATTAAAATGACTCTGCATTCATTGATTAGCCCACAATGCAAGCATTAATAGGCTTTCTATCTTCAGTTGATAACTTGCTAGTAAGACTCCCTCAAAAGAGTGAAAAGACTGTTGCAGTATTAAAAGGTGTCTTGCCATAGAGAGGGCTCACATACCCCCACCTCACTACCATATGCAGTTGGAGGTATACTGAGCAGTATAGAACAGTAAAGGCAGTGCCATAGGAATGCCTGAAATGCCAAATTAATGCTCAGCTGCACAAGCATGACAACCTCATACAACTGTGAAAATTAATGATGAATTGTCTCACCTGCCAAAGGGAATAATTTCTTTCACTAACTGCTTTGCTCAATCGCCTCAAGACAGACTAGCTTGCTAGAAGCTGGTGCCCTAACATACACAGGCAAGTCTTTCAGCTATTTGATACCATCATGTAAAATTAAGGTACTGTCTACACAGCTATAAAATCATCAAAACAGTTAACTCTTTCTTAAGGAACCCTTAGCAGAGCAGGGAATTGGTTGTCTTATAAAAAGATCAGCACAAAGTCAAAACACTGATGGGATCCACCAATTGTAGATTCATTCTTGTTTATTGCAAAGGCAACTGTGCTCTTAGAAATGTGTTCCATGTTGAGATATTTAAATCAGTAAACAGTTGTATAGTGTACAGTTGTTGCTTAAGAGTTAGCCCTTGATAGAGAGTTGACAGTATTATTTTTCCTTACAAAGCTGTAGCAGAAGTTGTTTATATTAATTCCTTAATATTGATCCAAATTTTGCAAATCACCTCAACTGACAATCTTATAATTGTAAAGTCTGTGAGCATGTTCTGTTTCTGTTGGTAACAGACAGCACATATTTCCACTTCTGTTGCAAGACTGTTTTTCTCCAACCAGTGGAAAGCTTTGCTCATCACCAATCTACAAGTTGTATTCTACACAGGGTAGATGTTGAAATGAGCATAGATGCTACCAGGGAGGGGACAGGGCTGTATGTCAGTATTCTGAGAATTTCCAGATCTTGATAGAACAATCATCAGAACATGATGCTAAGAGACCTGGCTTCTTTGGATGCCATTTAACACCATTAACATCCTGGGAATGCGCCTGTATTGGAGAAACAAATAATAAAATAATGCATTATTTTATGTTAAGATTATGTTAAGAACAGTGTCAGCCTCTCATGAGTGCTACTTTTTCCTATCTATACCCAACCTATTTTCATATACTTTTATTTAATGACTGTGTGTCTAGTGAATGGTCAGATATAACTAGTCATCGTGTAATTTCTACAACATTTCTGTGCCAAGAGGGTATCATCAGTCAATTTTCAGTGGAACTATTATAAGGCTTTCACAGATTTTTGCATATTTGCAACATTATTAGCTCTTGTGCTTTAACATGTCTATCATCTGCCACTGTTTGGCATTTTTTTAAGTGAACTCTCGCACATGCTCGTGTAATGTTCCTGAATTCAAACAGGGAGCTGCCATTTCAAGCCAGTTCTTCACTAAACCAAATGACCTTGATAGTACCAGTCTAGTATCTGGGATAAAGAGCTGACTCAAATCTCCTGGATTGTAAATCCATTCATGATTCACACACTTCTCAAGGCTAAATCCATTCCCGAACCTATTCAACCACTCCCACCCTTCTGTAAATTAAAAAGAGAAACAAATCATGCACAATCTAATATTTAAACAAAACAAGCAAAGGATGATAAACACCTTTCGCTGAATTGCTACTTGCTGGAATGTAGGTTTATTCTTGTCCTTAACAGTAACATCCTGTTAAAACAAACCTTGCTTGGTTAGTATTCTTTAAGACAATGTAACCGAAAAGCCTTGAAATACATTCAACATGTTCACCATCCATTCCTAGGACAAGTTAGATATTTCTGCTTTTCATGTTAACCAGGAAAGTTATCCTCAAAAATCTACAATGAATTAAAATAAAACAATCCACAACCTGTTGAAATACTCTAATACAATCATCCCCCCCTGCTGTTGCTAGGACATCTTCAACAGGAGACCTGATTCAAAAAAAAGAACAAAGAACAAAGAGAGTGAACATTAATTTTAGAAAAGCATAGATTCACCAAGATAAAATAACAATTAAAAAACTCTTTTTCATTCATTTGAAAAAGAAAACCTTATCTATAGAGGTTTGAGAATACGGGTAGTCTACCCTCCTAGTATAATTTTCTGCTGGTATCAGAAAGTATTATTCAATAACAGTCTCTGATACAAAGTGAATAGGTTTGTTAGAGAAATAGGTAAGAGTAAATGAAAAACTAACTAAAGATAAAAGAGGAAACAAGAGACCATAAAGCACTTTCTTTTTTCATACCCTATGCACTTTTCCTCTTCCTCTAATCGTTTTAAAACCAAGCTTTCAAAAATTGCTCAGTGCCTAAAAGGTCCATGAATTAAACCCTCATTTGGTAAGTTGACCTACCAGTGAACATCATAAATAGTTCGGTCATGATAACCAGATAACACACAAACACTCTTCCATTTTGGATCGCTTCCATTTGTGACAACACCTACAAAATGTATTCAACTGGGTTGAGAATTTTTAATTCAGTCAAAAATGAACCTTAACAAAGCTAAATATCTTTTAACTTAAGAATGTCAAAAGAATCAGCAACAATACCAGTAACAATAATAATAATGATAGCGATGATAACAGCTTCTTGTAACTAACCACTTCCCCCAAAACAAATTGGGCTTGTCAGGGCCAAAAAAATTAAATATTCCAAAAGAAACAAATTGGTTAAATAACACAGCTGTCTGGGGAAAGACCAGTTTGTTAATTTCATTAGATAATGTTAACAGGGCACATTTAAGGAATAAAAATCTAAGCACCAAGAATAATTCTGCAGTTAATTACTACTATTAGTGGTAAGAGCCATGGAGCAGAGCCAGAATCAAGGACCACCAGATCACAAGTCATGTGTCCTTACCGAGTAATCACTATGTGTTTTTTGTTATTAATTTTAGTAAATAATGTTTAACATTGGACAACCTTCTTGATTCCCTGGTTCATAACTCTGCCATATTCTTAGTGTTTTGTCATCACTGCATGAAACTGGAAAGAATATCAACAAAAGGTATTTACAGTACTGGCAATAGCAAGAAATATATCAAACAGGCAAAGTAACATATTTACTTATAACTCATTTACTACTTTTCACCCACCTAGCCTGTCTCCAGTCTGGTTAAAACTAATGGCCCATACTGTTGCCTCATGGCCTTCCAAAGTATCAAAACAAGACCTGTCATTAAAAATACAAAATAACTCACCAAGAGTGAAAGAATTGAGAGAAAAAACAAACATGGTTTTGACCAATGGCCCATCATGTAGCACTAGCTCTGAACAAACTTCACTTCTTCCATATTAATTATTCCATTTCGATTTTGCCACCCAATCTCAAAATTTCATATGAATCAAGAAGGTAAGTTTCTAAAGAAACTGTAGAGCTTTGTCAGCAGGGAGTGCAACAAGATAATTTGGTTTTATCTATTGAGTTGATAAATAAATGCAAATTGGCTACCATAAAGAGTTACAAACTAAAGCTAATACTCTGACAAAGGTCTGGCATTTGAAAAATCACCTTAGAAACTCTTTAAAGAGGCCAATTTACATTTACTTTACCAGCTCAGTTGATAAAAACAAATTATCTTTATATCCTTTTATTCATTCCAAATCAATAAATCCCAGCATGTAAAAGCTATTGAGAATAAATTTAAGATTTCTTCCATCGATAAAAAATATAGCTGTATTCTTTTAAATGAGATACAATGAATATATGAAGTATATATATTTTGAACTGCGGTATTAGATACATATGATGCACGATCCTCGCAGTAGATAGCGCTATTTAAGCAATAGCGAAAATCAGACCTGAAAAAAATCAGGCCTGTACGGGACTCGAACCACTGACCTCTGCGATACTAGTGCAGCGCTCTACCAATTGAGCTAACAAGCCAACTGGGAGCAGGCCATCAAATTAATTCGA